ACATGTGGTCTGAGACTTTTCTTATTTTACTGGCCTAGGTATGTAATATACTATTTTTTAACTGTAGTTTCCCATCTAATGAAGGATTACTATGTATTCTCGAATTATTTAGTCTGTGGCAGATTACTTTGCCCATCGAAAAAAAGTCAGGATCGAAATTTTTGCGTTGCTATAGTTTGTGCTGATTAAATTTATTAATTTCAAGTAGATTAATTGTTATAAGTGAATATAATTAATTAATAACAGTAAAATAAAGTATGAATTACTGTTATAATATACAATTTAGGAAAAAAAACTACCGTAGAATTAAATAAAATTTTGCAACCTCAAAATACCGTTTTGCTTACAGTAAATAAACACAGTCGGTAGTCTGGCGCTCCGTTGACAACGGATTTGAACGGAACTTGGCGCCAGATTCTACCGAATCTGTGGATATTGTAATTTTTCGAGTTTTCTTTTTTTCTTGTGATTTGTCAATGTAAGCCAACTAAATGTAATGCCTAAAATAATTATATGGATCACATTAGCTCTAAAAATATTAACATTCCGAATTTTAGACTAAAATTCCATTAGATTACTTAATTTTTGACCGCTTAATCCAAAGAATTCGCGCCCGCGGCGCGGAGTGGGGAGGTGTGACGTCAGACGGGCCACAGAGTGGGGATGGCGCCCAACCAGAACTGACTCAGCTTGCAGTCATAGTTATAAAACGATTGCAAAAATTAATAAAATTATTATTATTATTAATTAAACAATGCATGCATGAATGTCGCATGATTGCACCTCTACCATAAATACAATCAACATCATTTCTTAAATTTATTCAAATAAATAAACAAATACATCAGTCAATAAATCATTTTCAATACATAAAAAATTTTCCACATTTTATAATTATTAATTATTAATTATTAATTACAATAATTATCGATAACAACGCGTAATAATTACTCCTATTTAGGGTTTTTTTTATTATTATTTTTCATTAGTTAGTGCTCTTGTGGTGTTAATATAAATATACTATTTATGTTACTATTATAAATTATTAATTATTATGTATATTGTAAAAAAAATTTATTTTTATTAATTTAAACTAATTAATAAATTTATTCGTTTACTTTTTTGTGGTGCTTTGCATGTCTCTATTGGACTGCATGTCGTATAGGGCATCGTAAGTACTTGAAATAAAATTTTATTTTGCAAAGAAGAAAATATCTTTTTATTCCTTTTAAGATTTAAAGTTTATTTTTATAAAGACGATCCCGGATAAGCCCCACCCGCAAATACCTAGCTAATGTCCCGTTAATTGCTGCCGTGATAATAAAAATAATAAATTACTTTTGTTACTTTACCGTGATTAAAAATTCCTGGTTTAATTAATTTAGTTTATTATTTTTATGGACTTTAATTATTTTTTTCTTTTTTTTTATGGATTCTGTTATTTTTTAATGGATTGAACGCTCTTTTAAATAATACATTTATTATGATATTTAAAAATTTTTAATTAACTTAAAAACAATTAATTAAATTAATCGACTTGGAAAAAAAAATTTTTTTTTAATTAAATTTTTTTTTGTAACTAAAAATTTTTTTTTAATTTTTAAAAAATTTTGAATTTTCTCAAAATTTTTTATTTTTTCTATACTGAAAAAAAATCAATTAATTTTTTTCTAAAAGTAAAAATATTTTTGCAATATTTGAAATTTTTTTTAAAATTTGAATTTATTCAAAATTTTAATTTTATAAATTTTCCAAATTGTGAATGATCTATCAAAAAATTTTTTTTTTTTAAAAAGAGCGTTCAATATTTGCATCCAATGCATACATATCCCACAAAAGTAAAAAATTCTACTAATTAATAAAATTAAATTATTATCCAAACAAAAAAAAAACAGGACAAAGAAGACGGACCTGTGTACAAGTTCTACCAGGCGATTCGTGACTACGGGGATGATTTCATGGACATCATTACCCGGTTGCAAGACATAACTCTATTTGCGCCAAGTAACGCCGCATGGGATGAAGAGGGCGTGAAACATATCCTCCAGGACAAAAAGCGGTTCAAAGAAATACTAAATTTGCACTACGTGCGCGAAAAGCTTCCTCTTGACAAAATCAAACAGAAGAGCTTGAATCAGGTAAAACACTTGTTTGTTTGTTACTCGTCTATCTAATTAAGAATAATAACACTTCTACAAATCTATACTCAAATACTCAAACTACTTTTTATTTTATTTTTTTTCTCAATAATAAAACTAATTTTTCGACGTATAAAAACACATTTTTTCTTTTTTTTATTTTGTTCTTAAGATGCCACTCGATGGAAAGGGATTTTATGGGGTAAAATATTTTATTTAAACAAAAAAATTTTTTAGTTTCATTTTTTTTTTAGAATTTTATTTCTTAAAAATTTTTTTTAGCATGTTTTCGATAAATTTTTTCATAGAAATAGAATAGAATAGAAGAAAAATATTTAAATTTTTATAAAATTGCCCTCATTTTAAATTTAACACCAAGATTTTTATTTTTAAGCTCATCCCGATGTTACATTCGTCAAGAGCTTTCATTTGAGTACCTACATGCATATTTGATATATATTTCATAAATACATATATATAAAATATATAAATATATGAAATATATGAAAAATTGATGTGGGTACTCAAATGAAAGGTCTCGATAAGTGTAACATCAAGATGAGCTTATATCGTTAAAAATGTTATTAGTTGACAAGATAGCAATGTCAATCCTTAATTATTGTCATTTTTAAAGATATAAGCTCATCCCGATGTTACATTCATCAAGAGCTTTCATTTAAGTACCCACATGCATTTTTGATATATATTTCATATATACATATATATAAAATATATAAATATATGAAAAATTGATGTGGGTACTCAAATGAAAGGTCTCGATGAGTGTAACATCAGGATGAGCTTATATCGTTAAAAATGTCAATAGTTTACAAGATACAAGGTCATTTCTTAATTATGTATCTAGAGATAGAGCAAAAGAACTTTGTGAATAAATTCTTAAAATGAATTTAAAAATCAATAAAAAACATCTATATTCAGTTTTTTTAGATTGCGTGATCAGATCTAATCTTGTTTTCTCGGAAATACATAACCCCAAATGTATGAAATGAATTTGTCTAGTACTAACAGTAACAAAAAAACGGCAAAGCAATGTAATGTAAAAATAAGACTGGTAAAAAAAGATAATGGAATGATAGAAAAATAGAGTAGTGTAGGGAAGAGTCTAAGACGCTTCAGAGCGATTTAACTTGGAATTTATCTGGTGCGCAGCGTACCGAGTTAAAAGGCGAGAAAGTGCCAACCGAGTTTGAGTTGCTTTGAGAATCTACGTAACACATATACACAGACAAAGACAAGCTTACAACACGGAGAAGAAATCATTCGGATGGATAGATTTGACATTAAATCGACGTTTTCGACGTAAGATCGTTTGACTCAACGTTTTATTGCCACTTATAATGCTCTTATTTTATAACATCCGACTCAACATGTAAATTATCTGTCTGTTATAATAATTTTAACTTTTTTCCCTAACGGATTTTTACGAGCCAGTATGCTGAGTGATTTTTACCAGCGAGCATAAAAAATTATAAAATTCAAGCCAAATATGTAGAGATAAAAATAATTCAGCGATTATTTCTTCTTTTAAACATTCATTGCAATAAATTCGATAACCTATTATTTATTTATCTTTTAATTTATTATTTAATAATTAATTTATTTATTTTTGAAAAAACCGGGTTATTTAAAGTTATTATATTTATGTGTGAATTATATATATCAATATATCAATAATATTAATCCCAACAAGAGTAAGTTATTTATTTAATAATTAAATTCAATTATTTATTATAGTTTTTATTTATCCACTGTACGATATATATTTCTGTTGAATTTTATGAATTCTTTGGTTTTCTTTATTTAGACATTAATATAATATTTATCATTATATATTTATTACATATTTTACTAGTTTTATTTTTCCTTTTTCAACTATCATTTTCATTTCGTTTATTATTTTTTGATGAAACTTTGTTTTATTGCCTTATTTTCACCGATGCAAATAAATAATTCAACTATTTTTAATTACATGAAACTCATTAGAAAATTCATTTTACTTCGGGACATTGTTATTACCCGCTATTTTATTTTTCCGGCAACATCGATCGTTATTAACAGCTTAATATCAATCTGCAAGATAAATAATCATAAATTGGGCGAAAGTCGTGAAGTTTCAATGCAAGCTCACTCAATATTGTTGTGAAGAAATCAAATTTATAAAACTTAATCATTTATTCTGTGACAAAATAATCAATCGATTAATCATTAATCCATACATTGTATAACCTACCAATAATTATATCATGTAACCAAAATTGTTTCAAGATAATTTTATTTGTTAAACTCAAATTCTAAAATCATACAAAATTTTTTCTTCTTACAAAATATTGTACTTAACCTCATAAAAAATCATAACCTAAAACTACGACAAAAACAAACTTGAAACCATGCAGTTAACCTTAAAAAAAAATCTCATCAATTTTTCGATTTATTTTTCTTCAATTACTAATTAATCCGTAATTGAAATTGAAAAGTCCATCAACTTCCAAAAATTTCTGTTTATATATCTCTTATTAATTTATCCAAAACTTTCTTAATATTTTTCTGCAATACCTCATCGGCAGTTTACAGATATAAATGTCGTAAAATTATAACAAAAGTAGTATAATCATCTGTTTTCAACATTTTAACTCCATTGAGATCCTAGCAGCCGTGTAAACAATCGTTAATAACACCAATTGAAAGCATTTATTTATCATTGAGCAAGCAAATTGATAAATGTATTAATAGATAATGGCGAAAAGCGAAAACGGCCATTGGTGTCCACGATTAGATATAATATTGAGTACATTAATACGCTAATTATGGGCTCGTTACTAGTTCACCGAGCACTAAACCAACAAAATCCAAAACACTAATACCTCACGGCAATTATTGTTACTATTGCTATTATTATTTTCATTGTTATTGTTAACTTAGATAATTAATGTCATAATTAATATTATCAATTATTAGGAACATATTAATCGACTGAATGATAATGTCAACTGTTTAATTAATAAATAATAGAGTATGTACCATGAATTTCAGTAAAGTTGTTAGGAAGCAGTGTACTGTACTTCTGCATTATTTAATGCAGAAGTATTACGATGTACATCGATTACGATGTACCGAATTACGGCACATGTGTACGCGGAAATATTAATTAATTTAAATAATCGATATGTCTAAACGTTAATTTAATATGGACCCTCTGCCTCCATTCTCCACTGCATTATTATTTGTATTCTATATTCTATCCACTTGTTCAACATTTATATGCTAATAATTGACCGGAATTATTATTGTAATTTATCGGATTTAATAATTAACTATCTGGTGAATCATTTCGACGGAGCGATCATTTATTGGTTTAATTTAGATTAATAAACTATATTCGCAAACTAGATCTACTGACCTAGGAAATAAAAAATAAAAATGTGAGGTTAATTTGAATTATTAATATTAATTATATAATTATTGAAAAAATACAGATGAAAAAATTATTGATTAAATAATTATAATTAATATTAATAATTCAAATTAACCTCACATTTTTATTTTTTATTTCCTAGGTCAGTAGATCTAGTTTGCGAATATAGTTTATTAATCTAAATTAAACCAATAAATGATCGCTCCGTCGAAATGATTCACCAGATAGTTAATTATTAAATCCGATAAATTACAATAATAATTCCGGTCAATTATTAGCATATAAATGTTGAACAAGTGGATAGAATATAGAATACAAATAATAATGCAGTGGAGAATGGAGGCAGAGGGTCCATATTAAATTAACGTTTAGACATATCGATTATTTAAATTAATTAATATTTCCGCGTACACATGTGCCGTAATTCGGTACATCGTAATCGATGTACATCGTAATACTTCTGCATTAAATAATGCAGAAGTACAGTACACTGCTTCCTAACAACTTTACTGAAATTCATGGTACATACTCTATTATTTATTAATTAAACAGTTGACATTATCATTCAGTCGATTAATATGTTCCTAATAATTGATAATATTAATTATGACATTAATTATCTAAGTTAACAATAACAATGAAAATAATAATAGCAATAGTAACAATAATTGCCGTGAGGTATTAGTGTTTTGGATTTTGTTGGTTTAGTGCTCGGTGAACTAGTAACGAGCCCATAATTAGCGTATTAATGTACTCAATATTATATCTAATCGTGGACACCAATGGCCGTTTTCGCTTTTCGCCATTATCTATTAATACATTTATCAATTTGCTTGCTCAATGATAAATAAATGCTTTCAATTGGTGTTATTAACGATTGTTTACACGGCTGCTAGGATCTCAATGGAGTTAAAATGTTGAAAACAGATGATTATACTACTTTTGTTATAATTTTACGACATTTATATCTGTAAACTGCCGATGAGGTATTGCAGAAAAATATTAAGAAAGTTTTGGATAAATTAATAAGAGATATATAAACAGAAATTTTTGGAAGTTGATGGACTTTTCAATTTCAATTACGGATTAATTAGTAATTGAAGAAAAATAAATCGAAAAATTGATGAGATTTTTTTTTAAGGTTAACTGCATGGTTTCAAGTTTGTTTTTGTCGTAGTTTTAGGTTATGATTTTTTATGAGGTTAAGTACAATATTTTGTAAGAAGAAAAAATTTTGTATGATTTTAGAATTTGAGTTTAACAAATAAAATTATCTTGAAACAATTTTGGTTACATGATATAATTATTGGTAGGTTATACAATGTATGGATTAATGATTAATCGATTGATTATTTTGTCACAGAATAAATGATTAAGTTTTATAAATTTGATTTCTTCACAACAATATTGAGTGAGCTTGCATTGAAACTTCACGACTTTCGCCCAATTTATGATTATTTATCTTGCAGATTGATATTAAGCTGTTAATAACGATCGATGTTGCCGGAAAAATAAAATAGCGGGTAATAACAATGTCCCGAAGTAAAATGAATTTTCTAATGAGTTTCATGTAATTAAAAATAGTTGAATTATTTATTTGCATCGGTGAAAATAAGGCAATAAAACAAAGTTTCATCAAAAAATAATAAACGAAATGAAAATGATAGTTGAAAAAGGAAAAATAAAACTAGTAAAATATGTAATAAATATATAATGATAAATATTATATTAATGTCTAAATAAAGAAAACCAAAGAATTTATAAAATTCAACAGAAATATATATCGTACAGTGGATAAATAAAAACTATAATAAATAATTGAATTTAATTATTAAATAAATAACTTACTCTTGTTGGGATTAATATTATTGATATATTGATATATATAATTCACACATAAATATAATAACTTTAAAAAACCCTGTTTGTTCAAAAATAAATAAATTAATTATTAAATAATAAATTAAAAGATAAATAAATAATAGGTTATCGAATTTATTGTTTAGTGCTCGGTGAACTAGTAACGAGCCCATAATTAGCGTATTAATGTACTCAATATTATATCTAATCGTGGACACCAATGGCCGTTTTCGCTTTTCGCCATTATCTATTAATACATTTATCAATTTGCTTGCTCAATGATAAATAAATGCTTTCAATTGGTGTTATTAACGATTGTTTACACGGCTGCTAGGATCTCAATGGAGTTAAAATGTTGAAAACAGATGATTATACTACTTTTGTTATAATTTTACGACATTTATATCTGTAAACTGCCGATGAGGTATTGCAGAAAAATATTAAGAAAGTTTTGGATAAATTAATAAGAGATATATAAACAGAAATTTTTGGAAGTTGATGGACTTTTCAATTTCAATTACGGATTAATTAGTAATTGAAGAAAAATAAATCGAAAAATTGATGAGATTTTTTTTTAAGGTTAACTGCATGGTTTCAAGTTTGTTTTTGTCGTAGTTTTAGGTTATGATTTTTTATGAGGTTAAGTACAATATTTTGTAAGAAGAAAAAATTTTGTATGATTTTAGAATTTGAGTTTAACAAATAAAATTATCTTGAAACAATTTTGGTTACATGATATAATTATTGGTAGGTTATACAATGTATGGATTAATGATTAATCGATTGATTATTTTGTCACAGAATAAATGATTAAGTTTTATAAATTTGATTTCTTCACAACAATATTGAGTGAGCTTGCATTGAAACTTCACGACTTTCGCCCAATTTATGATTATTTATCTTGCAGATTGATATTAAGCTGTTAATAACGATCGATGTTGCCGGAAAAATAAAATAGCGGGTAATAACAATGTCCCGAAGTAAAATGAATTTTCTAATGAGTTTCATGTAATTAAAAATAGTTGAATTATTTATTTGCATCGGTGAAAATAAGGCAATAAAACAAAGTTTCATCAAAAAATAATAAACGAAATGAAAATGATAGTTGAAAAAGGAAAAATAAAACTAGTAAAATATGTAATAAATATATAATGATAAATATTATATTAATGTCTAAATAAAGAAAACCAAAGAATTTATAAAATTCAACAGAAATATATATCGTACAGTGGATAAATAAAAACTATAATAAATAATTGAATTTAATTATTAAATAAATAACTTACTCTTGTTGGGATTAATATCATTGATATATTGATATATATAATTCACACATAAATATAATAACTTTAAACAACCCTGTTTGTTCAAAAATAAATAAATGAAGTATTAAATAATAAATTAAAAGATAAATAAATAATAGGTTATCGAATTTATTGTACTGAATGTTTAGAAGAAGAAATAATCGCTCAATTCTTTTTATCTCTGCATACATATTTGGCTTGAACTTTATAATTTTTTATGCTTGCTCTCAAAAATCACTCAGTATGTACCTATCAAAAAACCGGCATTTAAAAGTAAATAAGTAATTTTCTTCAATGCGAAAGAATGTACTACTTTGATATCAATTTTTTTTTATCCGCAACCACTCAAAATATTCGGGATCTAATTCTTGAGCGTAAAAGTTTAGATTCAGCTTTGAAGTATCATTTTAAAACTAGATCTAGCTTTTTATCTCTACCACAAGACACCACACTGGAATTTCGGTGGGTTTTTTCGACTGCGACTGCAATAGCAACGCTCAAGAAATTTTCTTGTGTCAGCTCTTATAAAAAATTCACCATATATTTTGTCGACATTTTATCATTACACGTCTATATATATACATTCGTTCTCCAGACACTGTCGCACATCGTTCTCGACTTTATATCCAGAAAAATCTTTGGAATATAAAAATTTATTTCACTATTTCCTCTTTCATATTTATTTATGTCGACATCAAAGGATTCCTTTTGCTCTTTTTATCCATTTTTGTTTTACTATTTATTAAACTTATTTATTTTTTACTCAATTTTTCCATTTTCGTCACTTTGAGTGACATTCTACCTTCATGAAAAAAAAGTGTGTTTAAAGTTTTCAAATGAATTTACTCACAAATATATTAAGGACGTTCCAAAAAAATCAGTTTTATTTTATTAAATAAGTAAAAATCATCAATTATTAAATTGATCAAATTATTTTAAATTGAAATGAAGCTTACATGCAAAGGTAACCTCGAAAACTCTTCAGAAACATTAAAACTCGCCCTAAATACCTCGCGTAGGTCAGAGTGGGGACGTGTGACGTCACTAGGTAAGAAAAGCGGCGCAATAAGACTGTTTTCGCACTTTTGCGCATATAGAGGAGCGAAAAAGCACTTCGCTAGTAAACTTATTTCTTTTTTTTAACTCATGCTAGCTTACATGAGAAAAACATTTCCTAAAATTAAGCACTACTCTTGGGAACGTCCTTAATCTGTTTATATCGAAAGGTTTTTGCCAGACTACTAATTAAAAAACTGCATGATTATTTGCATGCATATGGAATAAATAATAGTCTTCCGCAATGGGATTGAATGTTAAATAAACTAAATTAATTAAAGGTACCGACAGCAGCATCATGGAAAAGTTTGTACTTTAATGTAGTCGAAGGTTCAAATGGCAGCCAAATGGTAACAGTCGAAGGCGGGGGTGTCAACGCAACAGTAATTACGGCTAACATTGCAGCGACCAATGGAATTATTCATATTATCGATCGAGTACTCGGGATTCCTTACACAACTGTATTAGATAAACTACGAACTGATCCAATGCTCAAGTAAGTTTTTATTTTATTTTTTTTTATTTTTTTTATTTTTTAATTATTTTTTTTATTTTTTTTTTATTTTTTAATTATTTTTTTTATTTTTTATTTTTATTTTTTTTTTTTTTTTTTTTTTTTTTTTTGAGACTTTAGGAAGTTTACGATCACACTTCGCACTCACTAGCTTTGATTTTAAAATAAACTGGCGGTAAAAACAAAAAGGTCACAAGGGCGCGGATAACTCCAGTGTATTCATCTTTGATAATTGGATTTTTCATTAATAAATAATCCGATTTAGTTTCCATCACAATTCTTTAATCTTCTTAACTATTCATGTTTTTTAATCTGTTTTGTGTACGTGAATAGAAGGTAAAGTGAAGAGTAATTTTTAATTAAAAAATTACCGAGATATGAATTTCAACTCGCGAGCTTTAGTTTTCGCGATTTTATTAATTTTTAATAATAATCGGAAAGTAATTAACCGCTTTCAATATAAAAATAATTAGCTAAGAATTTATCCGATAAATTGTTTTTTCTTTTTTTTAAATAATAATTAATAATTGATTTTTTAAACATGAGTTTTAAGGATTTAATTTTGTAGTTAATTAAATTAAAAAAGAAAAAATATTTTTTTGAACTTCGTCAGGATTCGAACCCGCGACTTTTAGTTTAATTAATTTATTGCTGATTTTGTTGCTTTTTCAATAATTATTTAAGACAATTTTTTTTTGAAAATTAAATTTTAATAAGATTTTTAATTAAAACAAAAAAATTTATATATCTAAATTTTATAACTTGAAATATTAAAGATTTCGTTTTTCATTAAAGTTGGTAATTAAACAGGAAATTGTTCACTTTGAATGTTTAAATAGATTGACACGTTCAAAGGAAGTATATATATTGCGAGTGATGATGGTAGGTGTAGATAGTAAAGATGAAATATTCGAAAAAAAAAAAAATATAACTAGTATCAGAGAAAGAGGAGGGTGATAAAGAGTAAAGAGATATGGCCGAGGCATGGAAATGTTGAGAGAGGGTGAAAGGTATTTAATATTGTCTTTCTATTGAATTTAAAAGACGCCGCGAGCTATTTTATGTAAGAAATAATGAAAAATTCGTTTAGTGCTGGAAATAGTGTAATTTTATTCTTGATTAAATATTTTTAGTTTCATTTACGAGATAAATAAATTATCGATCTAGGTCTGTAATTGTTTTAAGGAGTTGAAAGGGCCAAAAAAAATTTTTTATGAGACAGTTTATTTAACATATATATACAAAAAAGTAAATGGAGTGAATTTTTTGTGTTTAAAAACCCGATTGTCGGTTTTTAAAAATATTATGTTGTACTTCTCCAGTAGACGATCTCCAGAAGGTCCACAAAAAAGTGTCAGGCGGTGAGCAAGATATCTCTGCTTTGGATTATATCAAATGGAAAATTCCGAAAAATTTATTTAGTGGATAGGTGAATGCAAGTATTGATCGAAGGAATAGTCAAAATTTTTATTTTTGACAAAATGCCGGATTCCCAAAGAAAAGTTGCTATTTTCGAAAAAATTTCCAACTTCAAGTGGTCTAAAAAATCGAAATAATTGTCAGAAGTCTTATTCCTTCGATTAATACCCGGAGAATAGGTCTAAGAAGGTTGTGTAAAAATTTGAAACCGATCGGTCAAGCCGTTTTGGAGAAATCGTGCTCACCGACTTTGAAAATACTGTTTTGAGAAAAACGCGTTTTTATACGCTTCGCCTACTTTCGAACGCTCGGAGACGTCCTTACGAATATGCATTTATCTTCAAGAATATTTGCCGGATCAATTTGAAATTTTCAGAGATCATACTCAAGTATATTAACACTCCGAAAATCCAAAATTGATTTTTTGAAAATTCTTACTAGGTATAACCCCTTAATCAGATTAACAATTAACGAGTTCAATTATGTTCTTATCTTTAAAAAGATTTTCCACACGAAATTTCAATACTTGCGCAGCTGTAATAAAACAGTACTTGGAATTCCCAACAGAGGGCGCACAATAGCTGAACTTTCTCGCTTCAGAAGAGTTAAGTCAGACGATTTAAGGTCTTTTAAAGCTTTACAGCAGTATTATTGATTTGTAAATTAGTTTTGTGGATACTTTTTCCGATAATTTGTTATCCTAAACATTACTTTGTAAATTTTCATTGACAGAAACAAAATTTATTCCAAATTGACGGTATCGTTGATTTTTCAAAATTAGATTTTCTGATTTTATAGTGACAAAATCCAACTTGAGATTAAATAATTGTGCAAGTAAGAAGAATTTTTTCTTCAAAATGTCATTATTGTTTTTAGTAGTTGAATTTTCTCAAGTTAAGAAAATGATTCTCGAATCAAAAAACTTAGTACTTGGAATTCTCAACAGAGGGTGAACAGTAGCTAAACTTTCTCGCTTCAGAAGAGTTGAGTCAGACGATTTAAGGTCTTTTAAAGCTTTACAGTAGTATTATTGATTTGTTGATTAGTTTTGTGGATACTTTTTGCAATTTGGTTCAGATCTGGACATTCAAAATTAATTTTTTGATAATTCTAACTAGATATAACCTCCTTAATGAGAAAATTCAATAAAAAGTTGTGAAAAAGAGAAAATAAAAAATGGACATTCGAAAAACGGTGTACTGTTAAGCGAAATAAGTAAAAATAAAAATACTGGAAGGTAGTAGATTGGTTTGACTGAAGAATAAAGCTTGAATGCAAATTGGCTATTTTCTCGAGCACGTCGTCTACTTAACTATTATATAGACTTCTCACATTCTCTAAACGGGTAACTTTAAAACCAGTCGGTTTCCAGTCCTTTTTTTTCCCCTTTCAGCCAACGTAATAAGGGTAGTAAGAATAAGAGTAAGAGTACGTGCAATTACCAACGGCTCAATACTCCTTTGAGCCGTTGACTAGATTTTATTCCTTTCCAATCCTCTGATTTTTTTAAAAAGTTCTTTCCAATCATTATACCATTAATATTGATTACAGTTCAACATACATGTTGGGTCAGCGACGCAATTTTAATGACCGTTTGAGCGAGCCTAAGAAACGGTACACATACTTCGTGCCACGGAACTCTGCATGGGAAAAAGCCAAAAATATATTCCCGTCTGCTTACAAGAAAATTTTCATGCCCGATTTTAGTTACCATGTAAGTATTTGATTAATTATGCTGACCCTATCTACATTATACAAAAAAGAAAATTTTTTTATAAATTTATTGTTAAATTTTTTGAAACACTGTAATGCAAATGGATCTTGTAACCCGGTTTGATCAATTTTTTTTACACCACTCTATGTTATTTGGTATAACTGGTGCTGTTATTTTTGCGCAACCTGTTGAGCTTAGTTACATAAATAATTAATTAAATTAAAATGAAATAAAATAGAAAACAAATTTCTTTTCTTATTTTATATCTTTAAAAATGTCAATAATTGAGAAATTACATTGTATTTTGTCTACTGATGATATTTTTAACGATATAAGCTCATTCTGGCATTACACTTATAAAGACCTTTCATTTGAATACCCACATGAATTTTTCATATATTTTATATATTATATATATGACAAATATCATATATATAAAATATATAAAAAAATGCATGTGGGTACTCAAATGAAAGGTCTCGATGAGCGTAACATCAAGATGAGCTTATATCTTTAAAAATGTCAATAATTGAGAAATTACATTGTATTTTGTCTACTGATGATATTTTTAACGATATAAGCTCATTCTGGCATTACACTCATAAAGACCTTTCATTTGAATACCCACATGAATTTTTCATATATTTTATATATTATATATATATATCACAAATATCATGTATATAAAATATATAAAAAAAATGCATGTGGGTACTCAAATGAAAGGTCTTGATAAGAGTAACATCAGGATGAGCTTATATCTTTAAAAATGTCAATAATTAAGAATAGACATTGTATTTTGTCTACTGATGATATCTTTAACAATCTAAGCTCATTCTGATAACATACTTTTCGAGCCCTTTCAGTAGTAAAGATCAACAACTAGTAAAGAAAACAACAACAAAAAAAATGATAATAACAATTTTTCAGACAAGACAAATATTGGAACGTCATCTAATAGAGGCAAGCCAAGCATACACAATGGCAGAACTTAAAAAACTAACAGGCAATGAATCGGTAATGTTGGCACCAATTAGAGATCAGTTGAAATTACGTGTTCGGGAATACGATGGAAGTAAGTAAAATTTTCTTCCCCTTCCACAACCTTTATTTCTCTTTTCTTCCTCTATATATATATATATTCTCTTCTTCGTACTTATCCTTCATGTCATTTAATATCTTTTGTGTCACCATTATTTTTATCTTCATTCTTATATTTTTTTTTTTTTTCGACACTTTACTTTTATCTACAACATTTAGATTTTTTTTAGTCGAGTATCGGCTTAAGTTTTTTTTTTATTTTCCGTCATAAAAACCAATGACTACATAGAATATACTTTATAAATATATATATAAAGTGTGTTGAAGGTTTTATCAGTAATAATGTAGAATTTAAAATTTTTACCGCTTTAATTTTTAATTTATTAGGTTAGAAACTAACAACATTAATTTTAATTATAATAGACGATCAGAAGTATGACGAAAATGCAATTCATCTGCCTAGTAGTAATAACTACGGTGAGTTTTAATTACTAGAGTGAGAAGAAATAAATTTTTTTACCAAGTTACACTTTTGTTTATTATAAATTATTTGCTTATTGCAATTAAACTGCGTCATGCTTATTTAATTGAGGCAATATGGCGGCTAGGGTGCGTTGCAAGAGATTAATTGACCTGACGTGCCTCGGAAATAGAAAAAATATAAAATAGAAACAGCGTAGCCCACTCAAGTGTAATTGAGTCAACAAGATGGCGGACTGGGCGCGTGTAATGAGCGCGCGCGGACTTAACCTCTTAATTTAAGTTTCTGGCGATTTTCCGACAAGATGGCTGTAAGTGGACGATATTTGTAAGTATAAATTTAGAGACGGAGATCTTATTGTTAAATTAGGATAAATATATTGAATTTTAAAAGCCAGTGAAGTAAATGAAAAAATTTATTTTAAATTTTATGGAATGTTTATAATTAGTATGCCTAATTGTTATTAGTACTTGGAATTTAATCAGGCAACAAAATTAAATTTACAATGAAGAAAAATTATAAATCAAGAGATATTTTAATAAAGAAGATTGACATTAATTTGTTCGTCGAGTGTTAATTTCACTTTAATTATTCGATAGATCGCGACTTTCTATTTTAAACATTAATTTTGTGTTAATTCCAATAAAATAATTTTTTAATGAAAATATAATTACTGTAACAAATTCCTTAATTAAAAAGTTCTCAACTTTATCAAATTACATTCAAGTTATAATTAATTATAAATTAAAGTTTCATTTAATTGATAAAATTATTACATGAGTAATTTATCCGTTGAGAGGTGAATATACTACCCAATGCTGCCATAATACCTCAATAAATTTTATTCTACACTCTAGAGCAGTCTCGATCATTATCGCCCACGAATTAGAATTTTAAATTAATTTATAAATTAGTTATTCAAATGGATTAATTCGTCAACGATTCATAGATCAATAAATCCAAAAATAAAGAAGTTAGATCTATGATATATTTCAAGTGCTTTTAACACATGCGATCGTTATCCTAAAAGGACATGAGCCATAAAACGGGTATTTATCGTCTCATAAATTTATATCTTTATTCATAACATAAATTCACAACTTATCGGGTTTTATATTATGCAATAATACTTATAATACCGTAATATATGTAATTGCATTTGCAATTGCATACCAGGCGCATTATTATTATACTTATATATTGTATTTATATTATATATTATTATTATCGCAAAAATTTTACGGTTTTAATAATGAAGAAATAATAATAATGCTTTATTAAATAATTACTTTCGGTAAATTGCACTGTACTTTCTTAACTATTGACAGTTTTAAAGATATAAGCTCATCTCGATGTTACACTCGTCAAGAGCTTTCATTTGAGTACCCACATGCATTTTTTGATATATTTTATATATATGATATTTGTCATATATATAATATATGAAAAATTCATGTGGGTATTCAAATTAAAGGGCTTGATGAGTATATCATCAGAATGAGCTGATATCTTTAAAAATGTCATCAGTGGACAAAATACAAAGTAATTTCTTAACTATTGACATTTTTAAAGATATAAGCTCATCCCGATGTTACACTCATCAAGAGCTTTCATTTAAATACCCACATGCATTTTTGATATATATTTTTCATATATACAAATATATAATATATATAAATATATAAAATATATGAAAAATTGATGTGGGTATTTAAATGAAAGGTCTCGATGAGTGTAATGTCGGGGTGAGCTTATATCTTTAAAAATGTCAGTATTTGACAAGATATAAAGTCATTTCTTAATTATTGACATTTTTAAAGATATAAGCTCATCCCGATGTTACACTCATCAAAAGCTTTCATTTGAGTACCCACATGCAGTTTTGATATATTTTTCATATATACGTATATATAAAATATATAAATATATGAAAAATCGATGTGGGTATTCAAATGAAAGGTCTCGATGAGTGTAATGTCGGGGTGAGCTTATATCTTAAAAAATGTCAATAGTTCACAAGATACAAGGTCATTTAGTAATTATGTATCTAGAGATAGAGCATTTTCGAATGTAGTCTAAATACTTATCATCATAAATTGACTATTGGTGAGAATGATATGAAACTTTGAAAAGGCACAAATTAAAATCAAGACCTTTCTAATGACACTAAATTTAACCACAAAAATTCATTATATCACATAAATACACTGGCCACAAAATTTTTCTTATTCTCTTTATAATATAAATAATAATAATAATAAAATTTTTGAACTTTAAAGAAGAAATAGAGCGATGACATGTCGACCTTTTTACGAGGCATGTATATCGGTTATGTAACGACCGATTTATTGAGAAAGTAATAAAATAGGAAACTACGTCTGCATTAATTTAAACTTTTCAGAGTCGACTCTAGTTTTATTTTTATTTTCACATTTTTTTTTATTCTTTGTCAACTCGCGAGTTTACTTTCATCCCTTTTTTATTTTTTTTTTCCTTATTTTCACGGTACTCAAAACTACTTTTATAATACTTTCATATAGTTTCCTTCGTATATGAAATTTTTTTTACGTATCGAAGTAATAAATTTAAAATAAGATGACATCGACCTTTGAGAATTACTTTATAACGATTTATTCTCCTTCGTTAAAAAAAAAAAGAAATACTCTAAACTTATAAAAATGTCTTTTTTATCATTTTTATCATAAGTCATAATTCATGATATGAGCTTCTGTGCTTTTTTTTTTCCCTTCAGTGGAAATATTTACGTAAAAATCCAACTGAAAATCTGACTTAAATCTTGGCTCAACTATTGCGGGTACAGAAATTATTAAAAAATTAACCAAAAAACAATTTTTTGATCAATAACGTACTCAATCTGGTGTATTTTGTTGTGTTGTTCAACATCACCAGAAGGTGGCGCGGTAGTATACTTCTACCAGAGTGTCTAGTGTCTCCCAAGTAAAGGCGGGCTATTCAAAAAACCAACTTTTGAAAATATAAACAAAAAATGATATTATTTATTGTAAACATAGGCTCATTAAAATTTCTGTCCCTTTCATCAATTTAATTACAATTTTCTATTAAATTTTATTTCTTTAATATTCATCCAAACTCTGTATTTTTTTTGCAATTTGACTGTATTATGTTAACTAAAAACGAAGGAAAAATTTTTTATGCTATAGTTGAGTCTAGAATTCAAATTTTTAGGTGGGAATTTTAAATATTTTTTATAAAATTAAATTGTAAACAATTAATAACAGTAATTATTAACCACATTATAGGTTATCAAATAGAATGGATGGGAAAATGGATCCGAGTGTACCGTCCAGATGTCGCTTGCACCAACGGAATAATCCACGTTATTGACGACGTTCTCTTAATGCCGGAAGATGTCACCGTGAGCGGAGCTTCATTACTAACGATCACTCCTCATATTTTAACGATTATATTTGCTAAATGGTTTTTATAAATTGATAACCAATTTACTGATTAAGTACTGGTAATAAAGTTGATCGCCCAATTGATTGATTGGGAAGATTTTAAATTAAACTAGGTCTACTGACCTTAAAAATGAAAAAATAAAAATGTAAGGTTAATTTGAATAATTAATTATTGATAGTTAATATTTATGGATAATTAAATAATGTAAAGGCTGTAAATAATTGATATAGCCTGTGATTACTTTATTTATGAAACAAAGTGAAATGGATTTTTTAAAACAAACGATGGTTGAATAATTGAATAATTATACCAAATAATTTATAATTAAGTAAAATACATAATTAATACTTTTAATGAGTGGATAGATTTTTGTTCAATTGTTCAGATAAAATACTCGTAGATTAATTATTAATTAATTGATTAATGCGTTATTAATTAATCATTAGATTAATTGAGGAAAAATGTGTGTCATAATTATAAATAAGTCGATTAATTATTTAAGATGAAATTTATTTATAATAATAGTTGTAAAAGTAAATAATTATTGAAAAAATACAGATGAAAAAATTATTGATTAAATAATTACGATAATTATTATTAATTATTAATTATTGGTACATGAAAAATATTTGATGATGTAATAGTGTAAGAGTATATCAATATCTGTAAACTGCCGACGAGGTATTGCAGAAAAATATTAAGAAAGCTTTGGATAAATTAATAAGAGATATATAAACAAAAATTTTTGGAAGTTGATGGACTTTTCAATTTCAATTACGGATTAATTAGTAATTGAAGAAAAATAAATCGAAAAATTGATGAGATTTTTTTTTAAGGTTAACTGCATGGTTTCAAGTTTGTTTTTGTCGTAGTTTTAGGTTATGATTTTTTATGAGGTTAAGTACAATATTTTGTAAGAAGAAAAAATTTTGTATGATTTTAGAATTTGAGTTTAACAAATAAAATTATCTTGAAACAATTTTGGTTACATGATATAATTATTGGTAGGTTATACAATGTATGGATTAATGATTAATCGATTGATTATTTTGTCACAGAATAAATGATTAAGTTTTATAAATTTGATTTCTTCACAACAATATTGAGTGAGCTTGCATTGAAACTTCACGACTTTCGCCCAATTTATGATTATTTATCTTGCAGATTGATATTAAGCTGTTAATAACGATCGATGTTGCCGGAAAAATAAAATAGCGGGTAATAACAATGTCCCGAAGTAAAATGAATTTTCTAATGAGTTTCATGTAATTAAAAATAGTTGAATTATTTATTTGCATCGGTGAAAATAAGGCAATAAAACAAAGTTTCATCAAAAAATAATAAACGAAATGAAAATGATAGTTGAAAAAGGAAAAATAAAACTAGTAAAATATGTAATAAATATATAATGATAAATATTATATTAATGTCTAAATAAAGAAAACCAAAGAATTTATAAAATTCAACAGAAATATATATCGTACAGTGGATAAATAAAAACTATAATAAATAATTGAATTTAATTATTAAATAAATAACTTACTCTTGTTGGGATTAATATTATTGATATATTGATATATATAATTCACACATAAATATAATAACTTTAAAAAACCCTGTTTGTTCAAAAATAAATAAATTAATTATTAAATAATAAATTAAAAGATAAATAAATAATAGGTTATCGAATTTATTG